AAACAGCTGCTGTGAGAAAAATGCCAAAAAAATTGCAGTTTCTGAAATTTTTATTTTAAAAGATTCTTTGAATGTTGAACTTTTTGCTGACATTGCCTTGTTCATAATGCAATGCTTATCATTAGAATTGCAAACGACAGTTACCTGGGTTTATAAGCCCCAGTATGATATAAGAGCTAGCCTGGGAAACCATTTTACCTAATTTCTAATCTATCATATAGGCTATGATGCTATGGGATCTGAATTCTAATTGAAAAGTGTTGCTTTTTGTTGGGATTGTCATCGAAGATAATGAACTACAGAGGAATAAGGAAATGATAGAAAGGCTCTAAGGTCTCATGTTGGAGCTCAAAAGCAATATTACAAATATCATATCTGAATTTATGACAGCACGAAGTACACATGTGCCAGACTGATTAAAGAAGCTAGAGTTGGTTGTCACAGGCCACCTATGTCACCTAAAGGCAGTGATGAGGCAAATGGGAACAATCTGAAAGGAAAAAATATCCGTTTTAAAAGTTTATTTCAGGAATCTATAAATTTAAAATCTATAAATTTAAAAAGTCCCTCACCTCTTAGAAGATATTAAGAGCTTACGTACTGTGAGCAAGAAGAAACCATCTGAGTCCAAAAAAGTGGGTAAGAAAGACGTCACTATCTCCTCTTAATTCATTTGTCTCTGGATTTCAAAGTAGAGAGATGAGAACAATACAGAAATATGGCGTGACCTAAAGGCCTGTTTCTGAAAGAACTATATTAAGACCCTGAGAGACCCAGAAGATACTTTAGAGATCACCTAATCCTAAATTCCTGAAGGACAAATGTCAGAGCACAGACTTGTGCCACGCTGAGCGTAAGAAATCTCAAGGTGATTTAAGGCTAAAGTCTCCTAGCCGCCCCCCAAAGATTCTAGTCTATCCTATCTGGGGTGGTACCTGAAACAAAGTAATTTTTAAAAGAATTTAGATAATTCTGGTGTGGAGTCAGGCTTGACAAACACTGACTTAATATATTGGGGAAACTGAGATCCGGAAAGGTTGGGTGCCCTCCAGAAGGCCAGCAGGCTTGTTGATGGGAAAGCCGGGCCTAGAGTCCAACTCTGCACACATCGTGTCCACCGCTCTTCAGAGACAACTGGCCGCCTGTTCAACACCGTGTCCTCATCTGCTGTCCTAACCGGCCAGCACAAGGAAGGCCTCTCCGGAGACCACGGAACCACCGGCGGTCCACACAAGATGTAGGCAGAGGACCTGGCCTCAAACCCAGTTCATCACCTTCCCAGATGGGCAAATAATTTTTATGTCAAAACAACAAATGCTATCTGTCCTTGAAATTAGGCCTAGAAACATTTTAAGTTTTTTAAGTATGATAAGGGCTACTTTTATCTTACTGACTTCATGAAGCTTTTCAAATTTGTTGAGTAATTATACTGACAGTGTAACAAGTTATAAAAAATATATGAAAACAAACTTACCAACTTCAACACTGAAATCACTGAGGACATATTTTCCTTCACTTTAATGATGTCACAGACCTCTAACATGCCTCATACTAAAAACGTCACTGAAGAAAGTTGTTGCATTTTAGGAAACATAAGATTTTAAAACCTGAAGAGATACTGATTTTAAGTTTTTTCCTACAACTTTTCCTGCCTTCTGTTTCCAATTGGCTATTAGCCAGTGAGTGAGCTCCCAAAGCCATTTCCAGTGGCCCACATACGTTTTACAGCGATGGATACTTTATCATAAATCTGTCCCTGAGAGAGAGATTCCCAGTGCATATTAGCAAAAGATCCCAAGAAGCCCTTTCCCTGACATCTGACCATGAATCCTCAGGTTTGCTGAATGGTCCGTAACAGCCCTCCGGGGTCCTTCCCTGCTGCCCTGCCCAACAGAGAAGGTTCCAGGTTCTCACAAATTCATGAACCTGGAAAATTCCCCCTCAATTTTGGTAATTAACAGGCTAGCCATTTTTTATCCTGTGAGAACATGTGAAAATCAACTATACTTTTATGGGACAAACAAGAGACTACACAGAGTAAAAAATACGTATGTGAAACCTTTCCAGAAACTTAAGATGCTCTATAAATTATTTTTACGGTGATCTCTGACAGGTGGCCACAGAAAGAAAATAAATGGTCATTAATGTAACAGTAGCCCTTTCCATAGAAAAAACTTCTAAACTCTGTCTTCATATATAAGAAGGCAGCGCCCCTGGAACTGTTTGAACCACTTGCCTGAGGTGAGCAGTTTCTCTCTGCACCCTCCAACAAGCCCTCTGAGCTGCACTGGAGACCACGAGGCCGTTCCCACAGGTTCTGCCGCCTTCCCCGTGGGTCCCTCCCCTCGACCTGGAAGCCACTCCCTGGTCCAGGTTTAAGAGAGCTGCTGGCTGAGTAACCCCCAGCCTTCTCAACATGTCACCAATAGCACACTTCCGCATCTTAAGGGAAAGCTCTCAGTGCATTAAAAAATATAATGAAGGGGAAAAAAAATACTGATTTAGCAGCTGTTTTTGTGGATGATTTTTTTATATGGAATACATTTTGCATCTAATAATTTATTTTTATTCCCGGTTGACTCAGAATATGCAAATTTATTCATAAAAAATGAATGAGCAGTGAGACCCAGTGGTGCACATGAGCTTGGTTCTCTAGATTAAGAGCCTAGTAAGAGGGATTTATTAGGTGTTTCTGTAGGCATTGCAGGGGCTGGAAAAAAAGGAACATTTTCAACCCAGAGGCCAAGCTTAATGCACTACTAAGTGGGAGGACAAAGGAGTGGTCATTTGGTCACCTTCCCTGAGGTAGAGATGCTCAGAGACACCACACCTAAATGACTTCTCGATACATCTGCATCTGCAGCTTCACACGGGTCCCGGCGCACACGGAGGAAGGCAGAGCCAGTGACAGATCATCAAGCTCACTCATTCCCAGGGCTTTAGGAGGCTGGACACTGAAGCCATTTTCCCCGAAGCCCAATTCCCACTTCAGAAATAGGGAAACATTCCTACCTGGGCCACTCCGCTGCAGCCCTCGGGCACTGCCCAAATCTCCCAACACCGCCCCGCCCTCTGCTTGCTTCTTCACCCATTCGCCTCCTCCCCTCTCCTCCCTGCCCTGCTCATTCTCCCTCCCAGCACCCCTTTCCCAGGGTTGCCTGCAGACCTCCCAATTCCTCTGTCAATAAATACCTGCATATCGTGAAGCTTTGTGCAGGACAGACTCTCTACCTCTGCTTTAACCAAACAGCTCTTTCTCTCCCAGTACCCCAACTTCCCGCGAGCCCACCTGAGGAAGGCACTTGTCCTCTTCCACCCCGCCCGCAGGAAAACCTCTTCTCCTTCAGGCTGTGCTGCCCAGTAATCCAGCCCCAGTGCGCGGGAGGGGAGCCTCCCAGTTCACGGAGGGTGCCAAAGCCCAGCTACGGCCCTCCTACCCCCGTCCCTCAATGCCCACGGGGATGACGTGCTGCCCTCACAGTTTCTCAACCAGTTCCTCTCAATGACCCTTACCTTCACCTGCTTCCTGAACAAGTTCATGAGGGCTCTGTCAGAAATGTTAATGTGCCAACACCCCACTCCCAGACCCTGCATTCTTGTTCCTTCAGCTCTGTTGTTCCTTTACATCTCCCTTCTCTTCTTGATGCTCTCAATCTTCCTCAACTTCTGCTCCTTTTACCCTGCACCCCGAGTGCAGCACCCTCCCCCCACACTGAACCCTCACAGTGGCCCAGGGGCCCCACAAATCCTCAACATGATGCTCCTCTCCTTTCTTAACCTGATAACCACGTCTTTCCCTACGACGTTATCTTCTGGCTCTGTCTGCAAAATCTTTACGTTTCCAGGACAGCAACCTCCTCTGTATTATAATAAAAACTCATTTTCAAATGGAGTTGAGAAAGAACAGTCCAAATAGTTAAATAAATGTGATTTAAACAATTTCAAGTTCAATGGCAGCTACCATCTACCAGGAAAAGATTGGGATGCTTTGTAATTAGCACATTAATGATATATATGAAAACAACAGGTTCCATTGCTTTTATCACAAATTCTGAATTATTACAGAAAACAAAGTTGTACTAGTCTAGAAAACAGATAAAAGTTAAATAAAATCATGTATTTCAACATGTTTCAGGCAATGGATTACCGAGTAGCTTCAAGGAAATAATTGAATTATTTGAAAACCTTTTTTTTTTTTTTTTTTAAGATTTTATTTATTTATTTGACAGAGAGAGAAGGAAAGAGAGCAGAAGTAGGGGTAAGAGCAGAAGGAGGGGGAGAAGCAGGCTCTCTGCTGAGCAGGGAGCCCGATGCTGGGCTCAATTCCAGGTCCCTGGGATTATGACCTGAGCCAAAGGCAGATGCTTAAACCGACGGAGCCTCCTAGGTGTCCCTTGAAAAACTTTCTTTTAATTCCCTCCAATGGACACAATACTCATGTTATTTAAAACCAGCCTGAGGGGTCTGGCAGCCACGGTAAATACCCCTCACCCCTCCCGATGCCGTGCTGTATCTATCACATACACGTAGCCTGGGTGGCTCAGTGGGTCGGGTGTCTGCCTTTGGCTCAGGCCATGAGCTCAAGGTTCTGGGACTGAGCCCCATACCAGACTCCCTGCTTAGCAGAGAGCCTGCTTCTCCCTTTTCTTCTGCTGCTTTCTCTGCCCTGCTCAGGCAGGGCATCTGCTTCTGCCCCTCCTTCTTGCTTGTGTTATCTTTTGCTATCTCTGTCTCTCTCAAATAAGTAAATAAAATATTAAAAAAAAGAAGTGCCTGCTCATTAAGGAGAGAAAATTTGGGGATGGTTAAAAAACTGGATGGCTTCCTTAATGGAAGAGATTTCTAGTTTCTCTACTTGATGAGCTTCCCATATATCTGGGGCCTAAATAAAATGTAACAATGCAACCGAATCCTGTTACCTAAAATAACCCTAAATATGTTTATCCGGAAAGCAAATCAACTCCCTCCCCATGCTGATTTGTCTAAGAAAGAATACTTACTTGCAAATTGTAGTCTTGCAGAATTTTAACCAAGGAATCTCTCAAATTGGGGATCTCCATCCCTTCCTTAATACGGTGAATCAACAGAATTGGGTCCACATGTGTGCCGATGTTGTTCAACAAGCCAGTAATAAATGCTGCAAGATACCACATGGAACGATCAGCACATCAGCAATGTACATAAGGCAGTCAAAAGGAACTCAAGTAAAAAATTATTTCCTTTAAGGTAAGCGTTAAAACCACCTGAATTTCCAAATTCTCAAAAACTTTCTTTTTATTTCATGACATAAAGGGGAAGCTCTGTCAGTGAAAAAGAGCCAGAGAGCACAATGATGACTCAGAACACAGCCTTCGATGGCAAAGGGGTACAACTGACATTTATTGAGAACTTACACTACAGCTCAGCTGTCACACACTTTTCTCCAATTTTCTGCAAGGTATGAATGTATTTGTCCCCATTTTACAGGCAAGGGAGACAAGTTGGTTAAGTAATTCATTCCGGGCCATAGAGCTAGCAAGTTAAATGCCCCAGTTCACTGGCAGGGCAGACCGCGGGTCCCAGTCATGACGTGTTCCATCTCACCCACCCTGCGTCCTTGGTGGTGCGTAAATTACAACTTCATCATGCTAAGCTTGATTCTCAAAGATGCATGTGCACGTGACGGTCTACATCTGAATTTGACTTGAATAACATTATCCTCTTGTAGCTCTTATAAAAAGACAATCACAAGAGTCGTTTCTAAAACTTGAAACAGATAAATATTCTTCTTAAAAAATGAAGGGGGTGGGCGCAGACTTTTAAACCATAACTGCCGGTTTTGGAATCATTTCTAGATCTTCAAAAGAGGGCTTGGGTTACTGTCAGGTGACTGTGTATCTCCTAAAATGCGGAGGCAGCCACAGGGAGGCAGCACACACACAGTCCTGGTGCCACACGAGGAAGAGAGGTGGGACAGAGATTAGGTACTGTCACAGCAAACATCTGAAAATGGCCAATGTCCAGTGACAGGCCTAGGTTTCGATGAAAAGAAACTGGTGAGAGCTTTACATTTTCAAAATTAATACCCCTATATCCAAACTGAAAAAAAAAGAAACAAAACAAAACAAAACTAAGTCAGGTGACATGTATTCAGTAGGGGTACAGTGTGTCGGAACGAGCTTCATGGGGACTCGGAGAATGAGTTTCAAGAACTTAACCACCTGCTCGTTTGCACATTTAGGTACCGCTTCTCTGCTCAGGAGGAGGACTGGAAATCGTTACAATGTACATAGCCTGTTTTTGTTATAGATACTTCACCATATTTTTCACCCAATGTGTCTTGAGATAATTCCTGCTGTAGATGTAACTGGACGTATTGAAAGAAACAGGTCTGACTGCAGATGGCTTTTCTGCTTACGCGGTTTGTCGATGGAATATAAAATCAGATCTTCCCAGAGTTCTCCGTCGTCTTGCTCCTTGGCAAATTCAATGGCTTTATCAACATCATGTAATTCCTCCATGATCATCTTCAGGGCACTGCGGCTGTTACCCATTCGGCCTAGCAAAGATGTGAGAAATACTTTCAGGATGCTTTAATAAAACATTTTTGAAGAATCAGCATATCTCTTGTTTACATATCTCTTGAAAGCTAAGACAAAAACACATTTTTTTTATGCGACATTAGCATTTGCCATTTATAACATAATGAAATAATGATTTCCTGGGTGTTCTCTTTGTGCTGTATACTCATTTAAGTGCTTCATATAAATTACATCATTTAGTCATCACCATAATCCTATGAGGTATGTTCTACTATTATTTCTTCTTTACGTAAGAGGATATGCAGCAACATTAGTAACTTGCCAAGATCATACAGCTGGAATCTGAACCCAAGTCTGTCAGATCCCTAATTCCCTCCTACTTCCCTATTTCTTTTGGACATTTTGATACCCAGATACAGTTAAGACTTTTAAAGGCCTTGGAGCCATTCTGCCTCTTTAAGTAGTTTTGGATTTGCTCTTTTGACACACTCTGTGCCAAACACAAACTCAACTATCAGAGGGCTACCTCATTTCCTACTCGTCCAAGTTTGGGGGAAAGCCTTCCAATAACTCTCATTAAATGAGAGTATTTATCTACTATGCTTCTATCTGGCCAATTATCTTTATACACTTTGCTCATTGATCTATTGGCATTTTAATGGCTTTAACAGTTTCCCTGAGGTTTTAATATAGTACATGTAGAAAGCTTTACTCAGAGGAGGCACAGCAACTCAATCCTTCTCATTCTGAGCAGCCCTTATCAAGTGAGAATAGTGGGCCTGTGAATAAAATGATGTCCGATTTGTTCTACCTTCTGTAGCATTTTGTTCTTCCAACAAGTATTATTCCCATGGTTTAGGTCCTAAAAATGGTTAATTTTTAAAATGTGTATAGGATTTTTAAATTTTCATAACTTCAGAAAAGGACATTATGGCTCCCTTTGTAAGTTCTCCCCTTACTTGTCTACTGGGACAATACGACATCATGATGAAAATGGACTCTTCTGGAGTATTTTCTGGGCAGAGACACTGGAGAAACACCTCACGCTTGAACTCCATGTTTCTGCTATGAATACCTGCATAGAGCTTCCTTGGGAAACCTTCAGGCATCTACCCTGCTTTCACGTAAATGGTTCATTCTGGAGGAACGTGAAAGATAGTAAGTACGACATAAACAGAGGCGGTGCCAGAGGCCCAGGGACAATGGAGAGCTAGATGATACCAAAGTTCTCCCCTCTCCAAAATGTCCATATTCAAGTGCATTTTCTCCAGTTATTTAAGGTGTGATGAGGGACAATGAACATTATTTTCTACCGGGATGATAGTAAAATAAGCTTGTATTTTTTTTTTTTTTTTTTTGCAAATGAACCAACTTGTCATCTCCTCTACAATTCATTTGTGAGGTATGAGCTAATAGACTTACTATGCAATATTCAGATGTTACTTCAACAGCATTTATTAAATAATGCTTCTTTCTACTGAGCTGCAAAGTCCCCTTTTCTATGCATTCCATTCTTAAAGAGAATAGGCTCTACACTTTGTGTGCCTTTGGTCTAAAACCTACGTCCATTCTTAGACCATGTACACCACTTTACCACAGTGTTTCCCAGCTCATGGGGACCAAAAGCTACTTACTCAGAAGATACACTGTCTCTTCTACAAAGTTTCTCTGTTGACAGATCTCAAGAGCCTTTAAGTAAAGCAGGGTAAAAATGTTACTGTGGATTAGCAGCCATGAATAAATATGACCAGATTCACTTAAACATATAAGTTAGAAAAAAGTTCCCATTGCCTTCCTTTAAAAACAAAACGAAGTAAACAAACAAAACGCAAATCTTGGGTTTTGCTGGTGGCTGTCCTCATTCACCTCTCAGACAGGTGCTGGACCGAACACAGTTTAACCGATACTGTATTTGAGGCAACTTGGAACACTCTGTGAGCAAAGGCAGAAAGCCAGTGCTGAAGAGAAGGACTTTCCCGCCAAGCTTTCTCTTGATGCTACTTCAGGTTTCCTCACAGCTATGCGCCCCACCTAATGCCCCATGACAGCTTTAAGCTCCCCATCCCTCCACTGGAATGTAAGCTGTTCTCCACTGCACATTCCCAGTACTGGGCAGACCACGGCTCGGGAAACATCTGATGCTTAAATAAACACATGGGTCAACAGAATATTTCTGTTCCCAGATCACGGGGTTTAAGAGAAAACTCTGTTCAAGCATCTGTCAGAAGACGAGAGGGGAAAAATTGTATCTGACCATCAAGAAGTATCAAAAGGGAAGAGATCAAGTAAAGAAACGAGGAACCTCACAGGTGACTGCATTTCCTCGGGAGTAAGAAACAAGACATGTTGTGTTTATATATAACTGAATAACTCTAAGCGAACTGGCACACATTCACTGCACACTCTGCTGGGCGCTGGAGGGTCAGGCTGGATAGAGACGCAAAGAGGAGTCACAAAGATGCCGCTGCTGACGACAGGCGAGAGGGGTAGAGGGAAGGTGTGGAAGCAGAACGCAGCCCCCAAGGGAGCACAGGCGCCGGGGAAGCTCACAGAACTGCACTAACGCCCAATCCCATGACAGGGGTAAGTGTGAATAGAGGGGCGCGTGCACAGACACGGGACATGGGCTCAGGTGTGGCCCTCCCGTAAAAGGCTTCACAGCACAGGTGGCATCCGAACTGTGTGCAGCAGGACGAGTATGAGATCCCCAGGAAACCGCATCTCCCACCCCAACTACGTGACCTCCCTGATGCGGGGCTCTGCTCTGACTCACAGCCCAGAATCTTCCCTGTGACATCTGTGACCTGCCCTGCCTTTCTGGGCAGCCACACCTCCCTCAAGGCCTGCTCACCCCTCCACTGTGGTCCTTCCACCTGGACTATGGCCCTCACTCCCTACCCTCCACCCCTGATGAGTGCTTCAGGCACTTACTCTGCGGACCCCACCACCAGGCCAGGTCCCAGGGAGTCACCCTGGTGATGGCCCACACCCTTCTTCCCAACCAATCACAGGCGCAGTTGAGGACTCCGAGGCCGGGGACCCTGTGACTCCAGTCCTGTGTCCCACAGGGTGCCTGGCTACTCCTGGGTGTGCAGTATATATTTTTTTAAATAGATGAACAGGCAGAAAAGATTTCAGGAGGAAGATCATTGGGTTGTGCAGTTATACCAACAAGCAGCCCATGGTTGTTTTAAAAACAAGAACCAAAGAGATAAAAAGAAGAGTATAAACTCAGCAGCTCTGCTGGCTCAGTGATCTATCCTGGGAAATAACAGCAGGAGCTGGTTTGAACATTTTGATTTTTGACTTAAAATTTTTATGTAAAAAAAAAATATATATTTAAGTGTGTGTCTCTGGTTGGAAAGTAATAGCCAAGAGGGAGGAAAAAGTGCTGAACACAGAAATCAATGTTGGGGGTGGGGGGGGGTTCTGAACCACACATTAACAAAAAAGGAGAGAACACCTTTAGAATTACAGTGAAATTAGGGTGGAGTTTGAGGAACACAAATCATTTAAATGAGGAAGTGAGAAGGCAGAAAGGTCACAATGAAGAGGAAAATATTAATTTGATTATTCACAAGGCTCCTTTAATAGTTATATGGCAGAAACAGCCAAATTATCCCCCAATATCCCTTACCTATTTCTAGAGTCGTAAGATTTTAGGTGGGTGTGTGACTGCCCAGAATTTAAAGAACGATCTCCAAGCCTTCCCAGCCACGGGAGAGCCATGTGACGGATATGGCCCCAGGAAGGAAAAGGCAACGTGGTAGCTTCTGGCGATATTCTTTAAGAAGCAAGGCCAGTCATCCCTTTGTTTTCTTATTTTTCGTTCTTTCACCCAATCTGCTCCTGGAAACATGAACAATCTTATCTTACACTACAAGCTGAAGGTCATACAAGGTGAGGGAAGGAGAGAAAAGAGCCCGAGTCTCCAACCGCGTGGCTTACCACCAGCACTTCCATGGGCCAGAGAACTAAACTGCTACTCTGTTGAAGACACTATTATTTTGGCATTTTTCTCACCCAGAGCTGAACCTAATCCTGACACTTGATTTGTTTTGATTAAAAACACGATTTACCTTATCTCTATACTGTTATGCCTATCAATCAATCATGATCATAAACAATGGAATCTTCTTACCTACTTCTTACCCTTCTGGAATGATACCAGAGCAGAGACAGGATACCCATGTGAGAAGTAGACAGTGAAAGGAAACAACAAAAAATATGAAGTTCGGAGGACCTGAGACCATTCTAACAAAAAGTTACTAAGAAACCAACAGAGGGCCATGATTCATGCGAACTGTGAGAGATACAGATGGACAGTTTGTGGCCGAGTGGGCCCATGTCACGCACAGATGAACAAGAAAATGTAATATGAGGAGATACATAGAGAGTTTAGAGAGAGTGTGAATAAAGATTGAGTATATTGCCTAAATTAGTTTTTACTAAAAGGTATCTATATTTGTACTTGGAAATTTACTGACATTTTAAAGTACCATTCATAAGTTTCCAACAAAACCATCCCCCCTTCTCTTGAAGATCTGTGAACATGCTTCCCTCCAAGCACACAGACATTGTAGTCTGCAGGCTCACCTGTACTAAGACAGGAGCCATTCGTTACATGGGGTCATTTAAATTTAAATTAAAAATGCAGTTCCCCACTAGACACTTCAACTACTTAATTGCCACATGTGGCTGCTGGTTATCTTGTCAGAGCAGTACATTTTCCTCACTGCAGAACATTTTATAGGATGGTGCTGCTGGAAGCTGTTAGGATTTCATCAAAAATGACAAGTCCTCTGAGAAGAAATGTCTAAAGAAAAGTCTGAAGTCAAGAAGGGTCTGAAATGCAAGCAGATGTGTAACGCCAAGCTCAAAGATAATCTGAGTCTCTGAAATTTGAGTTTCACAGATTTTAAATGTTTTATGTCTAATTTCTAACAGTACTGAAATTATTCTTTTCTCATATATGAGAAAGCAGAGAGTCTAGAAATCTCTGGATGTTTTGAGTAAAATGTAAAAAAAAAAATACTTCCGATACATAGAATGTTTTGTTCTTGGCACAAGTGAAGTATAAAACCACCTTTCCCTAGATTCTTGAATGTTCTGGGGACACGTGCTCCCTCTAGAGGAAAGAGTAGCAAAACTAAGATTTTTAAAGTCCAGAGGAATGAAACAGAAACAGACACAGACACACACATGGAAAGGGAGAATCACAGTAAAAATAAAGTGAAAAGACAGAATAATGACAGAAATTGAGTAAAAAATGATGCAAAAGCTATGTGTAATCTTCCTTTTCCTGATTTAGTATAAAAGCAAGGAAGAGAGTTAGAGATTTGGGGGTAACTAGCAAGAACTATAAATTAAATAAGGATTTCTTCTACCCCTTGACCCTGCCATCGTTTATCCAGCCTTCTTACATGGCATTAATGGAAATCTGTAAACGTTGCATTTTCTAGCTTTATTCCTGCAAATTCGTAACTACTGCCACCTTATAAATGCCATAAAATAGAGGAGAGAAATCATAAATTCAGGTACAAATTCCCAAATCTGCAGAGCCGATATTCTGCTTTTAACTATTCTAGGCATAAGCAAATGAGATTTGTAAATGAAAACTAGCACCTGATGATCATGCCTGGAAATAATAGAACAAAGGACCGTTTAATAGTTTAAAAACAAATGCCTTTCATGATTCTTGCAATACTAAGGAGTATTTTTTAAAGATTTATTTAGTTTTGTTTTTTCTTTACCATTATTTTTTTTAATAAGAGGGAGAGAGAGAGCACAAGGAGGGGGCGTGGCCAGCAGAGGGAAAGGGAGCAGTAGGCTCCCCACTGAGCAAGAAGCCCGATGCGGGGCTTGATCCTAGGACCTTAGGATCATGACCTGAACTGAGAGCAGCCGCTTAATGGCTGAACCACCCAGGCATCCCAAGACTTATTTATTTTAGAGAGACAGAAAGGAAGATTGAAGGAGAGTGAGAGTACACGAGTTGGGGAAGGGGCAGACAGCAAGAATTTCAAGCAGCAGCCCCATGGGGCAGGATCCCAGACTCTTAGGTCATGACCCAAGCTGAAACCAAGAGTCAGATGCTTAACCCATTGAGTCACCCAGGCGCCCTTTAATTAACATCTTAAACCTGAAAAATGATTCTTCACCTTAGTGGAAAGAATAGGGGACCTGACTTAAGAGATCTAGGTTCTAAGTGTTGGCCCTCTGCCTTATTAGCGCTACACCCTGGATTGCTTCTTTCAACTCCTGAAGACTTAGCTTGTTGTGGATAAAACGACTTCATCCACCTGCCTGTCCTACTGTAGAGATTAAATAAATAAGGCGCATGAAAGCACAGCCCATGTTATAAAGCACGGTGGAAACTCCATAAATGATTTTTATTGTCTTTTTAAATGGCTGTCAGAGTTATACATTCCTACTACCTCTGTATCTCCTTTAGAAGGAACAATTTCATAAAAGCTTATGACTAATTTCGGGATTTATGCATTGTGGTGATTTTCAGTCCTGAACTCCAGTCTGATAAATACTGCCAACCTTGGGAATACCACTTTCTTAAAGGGCTTCTGATATGATGGCAGGGTCTCCACAAAGTTTTTGACCAAATATTGATTGTGGGATTTCAATCAATTCAAACTAAGTTTGACTGGAAACCCTGAAGATTTCAGCCAGCTGTCATTTGAACTCACCCCTCCTCTCAACAATTATCCAAAACTCGCCAAGGCACACAACCAGAGAAAGACAGAGCTGCTATTCTGCCAGAAGTGAATCATCAACAAGGGGGGAGGGGGAGGGGGCCAACATGCTCTGAGTAAAGCCGTGACACCTTAAACACTTCCCATTTAAAAGAAAACGAACACCAAATTATCACCAAAGCATCTATAGGACTAAACATCTATATACTCTTCTGAAACAGAGATTTCTTTGGTGGGCATTCACATTTTAAGCTCTTAACTTTATATTTAGTACCAAATTTTCTCAGTCTCTCTAGACAAAACAGGTGAACCTGTAACTCATGACCTTCACTTCACTGTGAAGTTATGCCTGGCATGCCTGGCACATCTACTTTGCTTTTTATGAATTGCTAGCTTTTTCAGGGTATAAGTAATACCCTTTTTAGCATGGTTTTACATACCTGAGCAAGGATAAGAATACATTTTTTTTGCAAACATACACATGGATATACACACTGGATCCTAACGAGAACCTCTTAAGAAGAAATCGCAATGATCTGTAACATGACAGCTCATCTACAAAGTTCTAAAAAGGTACATTACTGACTTAATTATTTTTAATGGCATGTTTTTACCATTACCAGCTCTAATTCGTTAGTTTCAAAATTCTCTCTCAGTGAAAAACAAAAGATAACCTAAAAAAACAAAACAAAAAACTATTTAAAACATAATGGGTTTTGGGATGCCTGGGTGGCTCAGTCGGTTAAACGTCTGCCTTTGGCTCCAGTTATGAACCCAGAGTCCTGGGATCGAGTCCCTCACTGGGCTCTTTGCTCAGCAGGGAGCCTGCTTTTCCTTCCTCTGCCGCCCCTTCCTGCTTGTGCTCTCTCTCTGTCAAATAAAGAAATAAATCTTAAAAAAATACTTGGTTTCACTATGCTTCTGTTGAATTCTTTTACATGCAACTGGATCTTCTCAGTGGATCACAGAGAAGAATTCTGGAAGGTTTACATGACATACTAAGCAAGTTCTATGTACTAGACATGCCACGTGTAGCTGTGCGGTTTTCTGATGCTCCTCTTTTAGTAAGAACAGTGTGTCTTCTGCTGAACATACTAGACTGGAAAACTGTAAACAAGATGGGTTGAAAGCGTGGGAGAAGCACAAACATACTAGAATCTGGGTGGTGCCTGTGCACCCGAGTTTCGCGAAAGGGAAGGAGCCCAGGGTGGCTGCTGGTCATAGGTGTGCAGCTCTGTCTGAGGGGTCAACAAAAGATGCCCGGTGCTCCTGGAAATGAATGGTTTCGTCGAAGAGTGAAATACAAATGAAGGGGTACCGTTCAAAGAATAAGATTCTCACTTTTCCCCCCTAGGTTATAGATTCTGTAATGTGAAGACGGAAACCTTTGCTTTTATTTTTAGAGGAAGATGATGAATTTCCAAATTTAGCCTTGAGAAAATGTCTTAAGACCCAAATTTAAAATGTTAGTTTTTCATAAATTAATATGCAGGCAAGATATTTTTTCATTAACTTCAGATTTCGAAAATCCACTGAGCTGAGATTGGTTCGTAACATATCTAATACCTGTATCAACATGGCTGAAGAAGCAACTATGAAAGTTGTCAGTGCACAGAAACAGCATGTTCTCCGTCAACTGCTTTTTGTTTTTTTTAAGATTTTGTTTATTTATTTTGAAGAGAGTGTGTGAGTGGGGAGGGGCCAAGAGGGAGGGAGAGGGAGAAAGAATCCAAAGTAGACACGACCCTGAGTCACAGAAGCCCACCTGGACCCTGAGATCATGTCGGAGCCGAGACCAAGAGTCAGAAGCCCCAGGTGCGGTCAACTTCGTAATACATATCTCTAAGGGGTCACTTTTTTTTTTGTTCTCTGGATACACAGAGCTGACTACAAAGTGCTTGCTCTCTGGCTATCTGAGTTTAGTAAGATACCTGTGGCTGTCAGATGGCATTCCAAACCATATGAAGAACCACAGGAAACAACACTGGGGGCCGTAGATTGCCCAGTTTCTAGTATATACGTATATACTTACTAGTTCATATGCAGCCCTGACTACAATCTCGTCTATGTATTCATTTATTCATTCACTCCCTCACTCACGATGCAACAAACATTTAGCAGGTGTCTAATGAGTGCCGGCTGCTGGGCTTACCAAAACGAGTGAGACAAACCACCTTTTAAGAATATATAAGTTAATGGGAAAGAGATTAGTAATTTCTTACAATTATAATGGAATGCACTATAATAGAGAAATGGAAAGTAATGTGATAGAGAAATACAGAAATACACAATGTTGATGTGGAGAGCAGACAGGGGACAGCACTTAAGTTACTAACCTTGAGTCTGGGGCCACGGCCTCTGGCATGGGCTAGCCTGGGTGTCCCTCCCAGGTTGATCTTTGGCCCCACTCTGGCTCAGGTAAACGGACTCAGACTCCTGACACTATTTTTGCTTGGTGGTTGATTGAGTCCTACACCCCGAATTAAACCTTTATTCTAATTAAACCTGGCACAGAAATGGTCTAGCTCAACAAAATCTCAGCTGAAAGCACCTCCAGTCCTCGTCAGAAGGCCCAGCAAAACCTCCTGCTTTGCTTTGAGAGCAGCAGTCACGCCCTGAGCGGCAGGAAGAGGAGAATGACCCACAGCTTACCAAAAAGGACAACTTCTTCGCCTGAAGTGTGTGGGGCAAGTCTGTGACTTACCTTTTGCAGTGGGCAATGGGTACTATCTCGGAGAAAGGGAAGTAAGTTCGGACGATCATATTCAGCATAAAGGCTAATCTGTTTTTCATGGTAGCGCTGTCCCTTATGATGGTCTCTCTTGAAAAGCTTATGCAGATACTAAAAAGAACAAAGAAGTAAACCATAATTATAAAAATAAGAAAAGCAAGACCTGTTGAAGGTTGCTATACTCAGTTCTAAACAGTCTCCATGGAGAGCCTGGGGGAGAAGCGGTTTTCAGGAAAATGTCTCAGTGAAGGAAAAGTGGAAAGAAGACCTTCAGGAGACAAGGGCGATCTCACACTCTCTCTGGAATGGCCTTGAGTGACCTGGCTCTGTGCTGACCAGCCATACGACAAGAACAAGTCACCAACCTCTTTGTGACTGAGTTTCTTTATCTGCCAAAAATCTCACTGGGTCTTCGTGAGGACTGAATGTATTACCATCCGTAAAACACTCAGATTCGCGCTGCTGCACGTGGCATACACTGAGCTCCAGGGAAATGTTAATGAGAGCTAATATCCTCACCACCGTTTGCGTGGCTTCAGAAATAAAATGCTTGATTAGTGGCCTTCCTGAATCCTAAAAATTCTCATTTTTTTTTATATAAAAGGGATATAGTTATGAGATAAAAGAATGTTCTTAAAAAAATCAAGCAGCAAGTGCTAAATTATTTTTCATACATTCTACATCTGCTCTCTGTTAAGTCTTTTTTTTTTTTTTTAATTTTATTTATTTGAGAGAGAGTGAGAGCGAGAGCAAGAGAGAGCGTGAGCGAGAGAGAGCGTGAGAGGAGAGAGGGTCAGAGGGAGAAGCAGTCTCCCTGCTGAGCTGGGAGCTTGATGTGGGATTTGATCCTGGGACTCCAGGATCACGACCTGAGTCAAAGGCAGTCGCCCAACCAATTGAGCCCCCCAGGCGCCCCTGCTCTTTGTTAAGTCTTGGAGAGACCTGTGCTATGAAATGCTGCCTCTCCTGGTGACATCAAAGGTAAAAATCAAGATAAATACAGATCTTCTGAACCCATTTTCAAAACTGATTCCTTTCCCTAGCTGTCTGAAAAAGTTAATGGACCTCAAAGAAAGTGAGTAATTTGCTTTCTACTCAGAGGCAAGATTAAGTCTATCAATATATGACGCAAGTTAGAAATCGATGTCCAAAGGGTAGTTACTGCTAACTATAAATAAACACCCATCACCCATGAGAGGCGGAAAGCCCGGACTGTAGCAATCGAAGTATATTCACACCTTGAGTGAGGAACCGAACAGCAGTCTGTCCCCGATGCCGGGACTGTATGTAGGTTAGCTGCCGTCCACCAGCCACTGTCGTGCACGGTCACTAAACAAGTCTAACTAGGCCACATGCACACAGAGAAAAGGCTCCTTTGGTCATCTGGTCATGTCTCCCCAATGCCAAGAGGGGGCGGAGGGGTCAGCCGTCCATGGTGCTCGGACTGGGGTCAGCACGTAAGCCGGACACGTAGTGCCGTTTCCTAGACGGGCACACAGGCTTGGGAGGCTCTGTCCCAACTGCCAAGGCCAAGTTTCAGACATTCTGTTGCCTGACAGGGAAGATGACCCATCTGAGTGGGGGCTCTCAGTTTCAGCACTGCACAGGAGACACCGGCGCACAGATGCCAGCTGCTATGATCCTGCTCACGCCTGCCACAGGCCGAAGTCACCGCTTCAGCAACAAGTCCCGAGGGGACCAGGAGAGTGGTGCCCCGCTTGGCTAAGCTCACCATCTTGAGACGCCCAATCACGAGGCACAGCCGTAGCATCCGTACAACCGCTGACCAAAACAAAGCAGAACAAAGTACCTTCCATTCCTATCCTGGGGTCTTCAGAAGCTTCTGGCATAAAATTGACTTCTGAAGGAAAACTCTACCCCCTGATTGTCCTCGTGGGGTGCAGAGAGGTGGGCAAACATATAAGAGCCCCCATTGAATTTGTGGCCCACAGTCCTACTGGACCCACCTATTTTCCCCTGCAGCCTCTTCTTATAGGACATAGAAACCATGCGCTCCTGCTTTACTCCCACGGTGACAGCAACACAGGGAATCAAAGCAGCCTTCCAAGGCAGTCTGGAGCAGTAGGCCTGAACAGTACTACCACCGAGACCAAATGACAGAGTGGGATTCGCTAGCGGGAGGGGGAGGACAGAAGAATGAGGCTCTGCTCCTGGATCCTTCTGAGGGGTTGTAATTCATGGTGAAATTGTATTCAGTGCGGACTACACAAGCAAGGTGCTTACTCCTAGACACGGTTTGGGGCCACAAACGTGAATGTGACAACTCTTTTCTTAAACCACAATTCAATGGTGAGTCCAAGTTAAAGTACCTGGTCTGTAATTAGTCCCTAGCCAGGGTGAGAGACTCTGCTGCATTTGACTGATTACAGATTACTGTTTGTGGTCAAACTTCCATGCCAAGGAGTGACCTGAGCGAGCTCACCCAGTACCCCACACCAGTCCTGAAAGGCGGCTCACTCCTGACGCAGTCAAAAGGGCAAAGGAAGATCGTCACACTCACCACGTGCTGCAACTCCGGTCTGTCTTCCAGTTCTTCCACTACCTTTTTAATCTAGAGAGAAAAGACATTTTTAACCATTGATTTATGAGGACACAAGCATGGCTGCAAGATTATCGGACCAACAGCTCTCCCCTTTATGGCTTGGGTGTTCCCAGACACCCGTCTAGTAACACATAAAAGCAAAAGACACTCACTGAAATTTTGTCTTCGTTGTCCAAAAGCATGTCGACAGCTTTCTGAAATAAAAAGAAAAAAAAGCCACAGTCACTGACACCTGCTGTGTCAGAAGAGAACCCACAGCCACGTTGTACGTGCTGTCACAGTTACAGGTGGATGGCTTCTTTCTACACACAAGGGGCCTGTCGCTTTGCAGTAGCCCTTAAGGGAGAGCTCTGTAAAAGAATGCATTTTAACATGGGTCTCGGTCTGAGAACTCCATGCTTTGCCTACCACTAAAACAGCATCCTGCTACCACTCCCCAAACACAAGACACCTTGTCTACACATATTGTAGCCTCCATGTTGTTGGATACATCACCACAGCACTCCTGGGACTCTTACTGGTCACGGGGAGCGTGTTGGTCCCCAGAACACAAAAATGAGCTTGGCTTCCTGCCACCTGCACCGTCAATGAATCCTTCTACAGATTTCCCAGACGTAGGAGGAGAGGGTGAGAACCAGAAAAAAACCAAGAGAGCTGACGTTTTGCGATGATATAAAGCTTACGGACTTGTGGCATTTACTTTATTTATCATGAACATTCATGAAACACAAAGGAGATGGTGTCTCTAACGACAGGTGGTGGGAAGACAGCCCACCAGGCTGAATGTCCTCTTCACACCTGGGTTCTGCTCCTGACTCTGCTACCACCTAGTTAGCCACTCCATTTTTTCTTCCCTCTAAAATAGGAAGATGTTAGAAGAGATTATCCTTAGGGTATCTTCTAATTAGAAAACTACAAGTCCCTAACTTTGGTTCATACTCTTGAACAGCAATCAGTTTCAGCTCGTTCATTTTTTATACAGCTACGTAAGCTAAACTCAGCTCTTGAGACACATGGCACGGAGAGCGGGTAGGCATAAGGGGAAAATGGATGTAGGGAAAAGTAATTAATTTTTGTAGAAGCACTCCATCCTCTTAATCATCTTTTGCAGAGAAGCAGAACCTCTGCACCTGAACTTCTTCAGAACTGCATTAATTCTTTTTAGATCAGTAGTCCCTAAGGACTTAAATCATTCACTATGAAAAAAGGGCTAAAAGCATCTTTCAGAAAGAAAGAAGTAGATTTAGCTCCTATTTAAATTAAGTTTAAGTGTGTGATAACTAATCTAAAGCACATAATACAGATATAGTATGCACATATACGTATACATATAATATAGTGCAGAATACCCTTAAATGTAATAAAATATAATAGGAAAATCCAAGCAATCCTTTTGGAGGCTTTCAAGTTCTACTCTTTAACTAATCTTTCAATTTTCTGAATGAGAAGTATTAGGTTCATATAAACTAAGTTCATAAAACTTCATTTCCATCACTGTCACTTGTTAAAAGTGCACGCATACACGCACACACACGCGCGTGCACGCGCACATTTATTAGCCACTGTGAGCTGTGGAGGCTGGGTGCCCTCATTAGTCAAGCAATCCACTGTTTGAATTTGTTGTAAATAAAATAACACATCCCACATGGCTGAGACCAGTGGAAATGCCACGTGCTAAATTTGTGAATGCCGACGTATAAACTCACAATAAATGGATCAAAATAGAAATTTCCCTAAAATTTTAATCCTGAGACATACAATTAAGAGAGGCAAATGAGCCAAAGTGTATGGCTAGTTTCTTTGTTCCTATGAATTATGTGAATTCTTTTACTAAAAAATTACTTCACACACACACACACACACACACACACACACACACACACTTTCAAAGTTCCGTATCAAATTATGATTGCTTTTATAAAATAACCACATCAAGTAAAGGATTCAGAACATCTAGTACGGGTCAGTGTTCTGAACATGATCAGCATACAGCCAAGCTCTGTGATGTACTAACTTCTCCAGCATCTGAATAGATGTCTAAATATTAAAAATTTGGAACAGTAAAAATAAAGGGTATTAAAATAAGAAACACATTACCTCAGAATCAAAGTCCATTAATAAAACAATTTTATCCTTGATAGAACTGAAAAGATTATGCTTGTGGATCAACTGGAAAACATCCTTGTGTCTTAATGTTAGGTATATTTCCAGAGCATTGCCATAGTTTTTGTCATAGGTGTACCTGGTAATACAAAATTTTTTATATTAAAGTTCATCAACACTTCTAATAAAACACACAAATACACATACACTTCATGTTTTGCAATATGAAAACCTGAAAAATTTCTTTAAATAGACAAGTCAACTTTATTTGGAAGACTATTCCTTGAGACTTAACTGTATGTGACCAGTATGTACTTCTTTCTCAGAGCCTTGCTTCCCATCTCCCCTAAATTTCCAAAAATTGACAATGTTCAAGTAATAAAATTGTTCTTTTATAGACGTTCTCAAAACTTCTTCATAGAACCCCATATACCTGACAAAGAAACTATGATTCAGAAAAAAGGAAATTCTTATTCCAGTAATAAAAAAATGCAGTTAAAATTTTTACAAGCAGTGCTCAGCTGCCAAACGGATTATATCTCCAAAGCTTATTTGTGAGGGGAGTTTATAAAACTGACATGTTTTTCCACTGAAGCACTGTTTTTCACATTAATTCCCAAGCCAGCTCCTGAAAACCAAATTGTTTTGTGACCCCATTAGTAGTACGAATAATTATCAGTACTACAGAGCCCAAGGAATATCTAGGTTTCCAGAAGAAAATGGTCAGTATTTCAACTCAGAGGGGGACAAACAGCCCTGAACTCTAGGCCACTTTGGTACACCTTTCTTGGTCTTGGCAAAAGCTGTAAGAAGATGGGGGACAGGTGGTGTGAGGTGATGGGAATGCCAAGGAGGGGCTGAAGCAGGAACCACCTTCCCGAGCTTACCTGCGATGTGCTTCTTTTTACTAGACCAAAGCTCTTCCAGGACATGAGTGTACCTTATCTATCCCTGAATCTCAGGCCTACAGGAGAAAGCCTGGGTCACCAAAAGTGCCCAATAAATATGAAAAATATTAACTAAGCTTCATTTTCTGAGCTCTTAGTGCCAGGCATAGTGCTTAATTAGTTTTCAATTATGACCTCTCCTTTAAGCCTTGAAATCATCCCATAAGGAATGTATACACCTCGAGAAGGATCAGGTTTGAGACATTACGTGACATGCGGATCCAAGAATGACAGAATCCAGAGCCTCCCTGGGAAGCCGATTTCCTTGTGTAGTCTGAGCCCCAGCACTCTTCCCTCCCTGCCCTACGCAGTGTTGCTGACTAGGGTTCCTCTCCTGTGGGAGCCACACTGCACCACAACTTTAGTCTCGCACATTTTCCTCACCTGCTAGTTGTTCACTGGAGGTTTACAAGAGGACGTTACTAAGGGTGAATATAGGAAAATGGTATACAAGCCTCCCTCTTCTGTGTCCTCCTGAAAAACTCCCCTGAAAAACTCTTCACGTAGGTTGAATTAGAAAAAAGCAGCACTAAATTCTACTCACAGTTCTGCCAGGGTTTTGAGTAAGGTCCTATTCTGACTATCTTTCTTCAGGTGATCCCGAACCGCTTGGACGATTACTGAATTGTTGTACAGATCTCCAGGCCATTCTCGGATCAGAGTGGCAAAACCCTAAACAGAACAAGAGAAAATTCCTGAAATAGATTAAATGATCCAAATAGTTTAAACAATGCATAAAAATATTCATGTAAACAGACAAAATAATTTTATGCTTAAAACTCTGGCATGAACCTATCACAGATTTTCAGACTCTGGGTTTGGGGGTGGCAAGAAAGGCCAAGAAGCACTGCACAGGACTCTCCAGTTACCGTTCCTGGAAGTGGGTGGTGCTCTTACCTATTTGATGAAACGCACCTGTAAGTAAGACCCCCCTAGTTCTTCCATAAAACAACACTGCACACACAGACTTTGGCTTTGACTTGCTGTAACCTCAGTGCGGACTAACTATAACATTCAGATGATAGCCCGAATATCCTGAAGATACTGTCCAAGTTGGTCGCTCCCCCCTCCCCCCGAACTTCTGTGCCTTCACGTCTGTCCTCCCATGTGCAAAACTCTACACAATGGCTGGTTTCCACAGTCATTGCAGTCACTGGAACCCCCACCTTCAACAAGTTACCACCTTGGTCCTCTTTCTTCTTGTTGGTCCTCTTTCCATTCTTGCCTCTGAACCTAGTTTTGTTTGGAGGATTTGAGACTTTGGCTCAAGTCTTATCCCCTAGCTGGATCTCAAATTTTTCCATTCTGATAGAAAACTCTAGATCCTTCAATTGGATCCTGTTTCTTTCCTACCGTTGATTTTTGGCCAGGGTCCTGATTGCTGACATTAGAGCTTGTGTTTTGTAACTCGGAGTATGGCAGAGCAGTTTACTTACTGATCCTTGGCAGCTGGTAGAGGAAAAACCTTAGATGTAATCAAGACAGCAAAAAGAAGTAAAAATCTTCATGTTATCGAAAAAAAATTGTATTATTCATATTAAGCATCTCAACTAATGCTTTAATAAACTACTATGAATTTAGTTAAGTGACACTTAGAAATGAAACTGGTACGGTGGAATGTGCTTCTGTGAAGTACCAAGGTTTGGTAAAAAGAAAATCACAAAGAATCAGGATACAGTCTCTATTAAAGTCCTACCCAAGTAGCCCTGGGAAGGATGGCAAGAGACCAGAACAACAGGCCACACATTTTCCATTCAAACTGCAACCTTCCCACATAAGTGCATGATTGCAGTTTCATCTGAGAAATGTGGGGAGGGGTGTCTCCAGGTAAAGATGATGTATTTTATAAAACCACTGAATCAGAACATTAAAATGTTCTTTGAGCCAAAACGACACTTTGGATTGGGTTTCTATTTTAAGACTCAGTAATGTATAAGATAAAAATGTCTGAAAAGATTCCCATCCAAACACTGGCAGCTCTCAGTGGCCCTGAGACCAGGAATCATACTGTATGGGAAGAAGGAGGCTTGGCTCCGATTTCCGTTTTCCCTAATTCATGCGACAGCCTGGCAGTACGGCCGACTCCTAATACGAAATAAGACAAAATGGGGCACCTGGGTGGCTCGGTCATCAGGCGTCTGCCTTTGGCTCAGGTCATGATCCCAGGGTCCTGGGATCGAGCCCCGCATTGGGTTCCCTGCTTGGTGGGAAGCCTACTTCTCTCCCTCTCCCCACTCCCTCTGCTTGTGTTCCCTCTCTCGCTGTGTCTCTGTCAAATAAATGAAAAAAAAATCTTAAAAAAAAAAAAAAAAAAGACAAAACAGCCGGTCATATCGCGTGACAAAAACATGATGCCTCTGTCAACCGACATAAACTCCACATTTCACATCAGGTTTTTCTCCGCTAAACTGGCCCCATATGCCCTTGAATTAATGTGCTAAGGAATACTGATGCAATCAGCCCCGTGGCCTTGATTATTCTTCAGAGGATGCGGTTTATCAGGGAGCTGTTATTATCGAGCAGGTGAAGTCAGAGAACATCTCAGCGCCCATCACAGTTAAGTACAAGGTTAAAGGTATTCACTGAATGAAATGCCATGGCAATTGGCCCACTTTTAATATGTTTATGTATCTGTCATTAATAATTTGAAACAAAGTTTAACTCTCTGAGGAGCTCCGGGGCCATGATAAGTTGGCGCACAGTACTTATAAAATAATTCTGCTAGGTTGTAAATAAAAAGACAAAACATTTTAGTAGAAGCCCACACCAACAAGTCAGGAAGCATCATCATTACCTCCAAGTAAATACTGTCACTTCATATCTTTTTAGGAAGAAAAGAAAACTGAGAAGGCAATATTCTACAGAAGTACAGCTGTTTTTCTAGTGCTGTTTAGTAGGGCACATGATATGTGATCAAAAGCATCGCTACAGAACACTGCTCCCCAGTCAATTATGTGACAATTTAATTCAAAATTAAACATGAAACTAAGAAGGATGGAAGCTAAAAGATTTGTAAGAGCTTATGGCAACACATTACTTATACCTTTCTTAACAGTAAGAAAGACACACGGAAACATTCAGGAAAAAACATTGATAAGCACTGAGCTTAAGTTATGCATAGTCCTTTCTGTCTCCGTCAACAGTCTTCCAGACATGAATCAACAGGATAACTTTAATGATACAGAATCTAAAGTAATTTCTAGAAAAAGAGTTGAATCATGTGAAAGAATTATAACAGAATCATAAAAAAAAAAAGAATTGCTTTCTCATGGTTAAATTGCATTACTTTAAAAAGAGGACAAGTATACCAAGCTTCAATATTTTGCAATAAAATTCATGCTTTTCCCCATCATTTTCACAGAACACTCATAATTCTCTTTCTTTTGGGAAGATGTACAAAGACGGAATAGTTATGAGAGCCACTCCATGTGCTCAGAACAGAATGGAAAGAAATAGGAGAAGTCCATTACAAGTCTTTATTCACTGAAGAAACCTTTTCCAATAACTATGGCCAATAATGGCCTCTCATCAGATCTTTTACAGAACAATCACTTTGCCCTTGTCACTTATGTTCTAGTTGCTTAAAGCTTATCAAAATCATCTCTCCTCTCAGCCTATAAATCTACTGAAGACAAGACTGTGTTTTTTAACTTTCTCTGGGTCTGAGTACTCACCCCAGTTCTAGGCCATGGTAGGTTCTAAATAAAGCTATGTTGAACTGAACTGACTAGGAAAGGAATAGGAAGCATGCCGCTAGCCTCCATCAGCTGGCACCCAACACAAACAACAGAAACTATTACCATAGATCTTCTAGAAGACGTACATCTACTCTAGAAAGAAAGAGATCCCTGCTGTTAGAGCAGATTGGATTACAATACACAGTAATAAGAGAAAATGCTGTTCCATTATTATGCACAATTATTAAGGAGGTAATTTGTTCAAGTTTAATTCATCCTGAAGCACTTGATCCCTTCCTATGATAAGAACACAGGAACTGTACGGACCACACGAGCTTCAGGCTGCCTGAATCATCTGCATCCAGGAACAACTGGCTGACTATGACCGACCAATCATCCGAGGTATCCAGGTACGGACCATTATCATAAAGGACCCTTGTAGATCTTTCGATCTAAAATTCACCTCCATCCATTAAATTGGGGTCAGTAGCACAAATTACCTAGTCACGACAACCCAAACACTACCCAATGTCCCCGGAGGGCATACTCAGCCCACTGAGAAGCAGCGGTTTACATGCTTGCAGGTGACTCGGGCCATGAGCTACCGCAGAACACGTGTCATTTTGTTCACACCTGCACGCCTGGTGCCTACCACGTGCCTACAAGATAGTAGATACCACACAGGTATTTTCTGAATAAATTCATCTTAAATCAACCAACTTTAAAAATTATAATCCATTTTGGGTGCATACGAACACCAAATTTAAATTCAAATCCAGGCAGGCCTATTTTTTAAATGTATGCCTGTGAACAAATTATTTAATTTCTTTTATCTTTAGTTTCCCTATCTATAAAATTGGATATTACCACTTAGAGTGTTGTCGGGAGTACAAAATCGCAACATGCGCATGAGAGTGGGGAGTACACAGCAGACGAACGATGTTAACTACTGCCTTTCTCCCTCATCAGTAAGCAAACAGATCCCATCCAAGCCCCCTCCCCATTCCTGCCGCCCCAGTCCTCCTCAGGCAAACTGAGATCTGAGTCTCAGGCTTTAAGCAGCAACAGCAGCTGCTCTTCTATGTATGAAATCACCACACAGCACTTGTCCTTTTTCTTCAGCTTTCTCAAGGAGCCAAACGAAGTGGCTTTAGGAAACTATAAACTTAAGAATTCTCCAAAATCTGCATCGATGAGAGGTTTTCACTGTCCACAGAGACATGAGCTGTCATGAGCGCGTCACCTCAGTTTCATCCATCCCCCACAACCTGCAAATCTGCTCCCTCTCAACCGCCTGATCCACTGTATTATTTTTCTCGATTTCTTACCATTTTCCCATTGAGAGCAAGTAAATATGACTACGTCGGAAGGCCGTACCTCATAATCACTTTCCAAAAATTCATGTAAGATCATTTCATAGATGAGTGGTTTCAGAACTGGATCTCCTCTTGGCAAGTATGGACTAATAGCCTAAGGAAGAAGAAGGAAAAAGGTCATTTCAGAAGGGGCAAAACAAAACCAGACTCCAATTATGCAGAAAATATGAAAGTACAGAACTTCCTCAACCTACTATAGGGTTACATTCTGATAGATCCATCAGAAATTGAAAATATTTTAAGTCAGAAATGCACTGAAACAGCCCCCTACTGAATTCCACAGCTTAGCCGAGCCTACCTTATATACGCTCAACCACGTATGTGAGCCTACAGTTGGGCAAAGTCCTCTAGCACCTGGCCTATTTTAGAGTCAAGTGTTGAGTATCTCATTTAGGTTACTGAATATTGTACTGAAAATGAAAAAGAGAACGTCCATGGTGTGAGTGTGCGGCTCGAAACCCAGCCCGGCGTCCCGACAGAGGATCATCCCGGGTGTCATTCCCCCCGGGAAAGATCCAAGTTCAATGTGCTGTTTCTACTGAATGTGTAACGCCTTTGCACCCCTCTAAAGTTGAAAAATCATAAGCTGAACTACTGTAAGTAGGAGACCATCTGCATATCTCTACTTTTAAAATGTAAGGCACCAGAGTGTTTTGGAAAATTATTATGAAAAGAAAAATTCAAATCAACTCTACCTTCTTATGACCCATTACACTATATTCTCAAAAGTATCTATGAGGTGTATATATGTATGAACGATGAATAAAACAACTGCCTCAGGTAAGTTAAACTTTCTGTTCTTCCAGAGGAATTAAAGAAAATCTAAATAGGAGGGAGAATGTCACAGAGATAAAAGCTACCTTAAGGAGTCAAGGAGTTACAGGTCATCTAATCATATTTTTTTCCCTTAAAGTGGAATATATCATTCTTTAAAAACTCATAATCATAGTTTGAAATTAAGGGAAAATACACACCTTGCATTCATTAGCTGTTTCAGTGCATGTTAAATGTTGAATTCACAAACACTGTTGACTGACTTGGCAGGTGTATGTACCAATCGCTACACTTTGTTCTGGGGACGCAGAACTAGGGGGCTCAGAGCCTCAGGGGAAGACTATGCAGATATCTAAACAGCCAACCGGAACACTGGCTGCTAAGTGTTACATAAGAAAGGTGTTAACCAGGTGCTGCGATGAGCAAGGGCCCATTTTGTATCCTGAGGCAGAAAAGACAAATGCCAGGAGTCCATCAGGCAAAGAAAGACAGGGCAGGGCACCCTGGCAGAAGGAAAAGCATGAGGAAGGGCACGGAGCATGGATGTGTGCTGTGTATTCAGGGAGATCAGAGTGGCCCCGAGATGCGGGAGAGCGGTCCCCAGAAGGGGAGAAAATTGAGGCGGGGCAATGAAAACTATTTGGATTTTATACTTTGAGAAGAAGGGAAGTGAGAATAGCAGATTTATTTATTTATTTGAGAGAGAGAGAGAGAGAGATCACAAGAGGCAGGGAGGCAGGCAGAGAGAGAGGAGGAAGCAGGCTCCCTGCTGAACAGAGAGCCTGATGCAGGGCTCGATCCCAGGACCCTGAGATCATGACCTGGGCCGAAGGCAGAGGCTTAACCCACTGAGCCACCCAGGCGCCCCAGCAGATTTATTTTTTAAGCAGCTAACTCTGGGGTAGGGTTGTTCACCGATCTGTCAGAAGGCCCCTGCAACAGCATAGACAAGAGCTGAGGCCATGGCCCCCAGGGGAGGAGAGGTCTGGTATGGACAAGGAAGGACTGATGAGAACCAGAGACGAAACATCATGAGGACGTGAGTCAGATGTTCTCATGTGGGCAGTGGCTGTGAGCTCTTAAGCATGGAGGAATGGGTACGCCATGAGGTCACAGATACAGACTGGAATTGGGAAAGAAATGGATTGACAATGATTTGAGTGATCACTATCAGTAGTTCCTACAAGGAAAAAGAGCCATCACACACTGCCAGCACAGATACTGAATTGAATAAAAAGGTCTGGGTCATAAAACCATCAGGCTAAACACGGTCACAGAACTGGGTAAGATCCTCCAGGAGCAGCCAAACAAATAAGATGAGAAGATTCTCTGGGGCAAGTGCACTATTCATAGCGCAGGCAACCTGAGAAAAATTTTTTTTTTTTAAAAGATGTTATTTACTTATTTATTTGAGAAAGCGAGTGAGAGAGAGCGTGCACAAGTGGGGAGGAGGGAGAGTGAGAAGCAGATTCCCCAGGGAGCCTGATGTGGGGCTTGATCCCAGGACCCTGATATCATGACCTGAGCCGAAGGCAGATGCTTAACTGACTGAACCATCTAGGTGCCCTATAACTGGGAATTTTTAAAAACATATTCAGAATTTCAAGAGAATACTGCAAAGGCTCATAAATATTGCACGGAGCACTGGCTGTTATATGCAATAATGCATCATGGAACATTATCAAAAACTAATGATGTACCATACGGTGACTAACATAACATAATAAAATTTAAATAAAAAAAAATTTAAATGTTTTAAACAAACATAGGAATACTTTATCGTTTACTCTGAAGGTCATGCATTAAGTTGAAAGGTAAATTGCTTCCTTTGAAGGAAATAATCAACGAAACTAAGAGGCAACCTTTGGAATGGGAGAAGATATTTGCAAATGACATGTCTTGGAAAGGGCAGTATCTAAAATATACAAAGAATTTATATAAAAAGAAGAATTTATAAAAAAAAAAAAAAAGAATTTATAAAACTGAACACTCAAAACACAAATAAACCAGTTAAAAAATGGGCCGAAGACACGAAGTGACATTTTTCTATAGAAGACGTACAAATGGCCAACAGACATGAAAAGATGCTCAACATCACTCATCATCAGGGAAACATAAATCAAAACCACAATGAGATACCACCTCACACCAGTAGGAATGGCCAAAATTAACACCACAGGAAACAACAGGTATTTGTGAGAATGTGGAGAAAGAGGAAGCTTCTTACACCGCTGGTGGGAAACGCATACTGGTACAGCCACTGTGGAAAACAGTACGGAGGGTCCTCAAGAAGTTAAAAATAGAACTACCCTATGATCCAGCAATCACACGACTAGGTATTTACCCAAAGAATACAAAAATACCGATTCAGAAGGAAATATATGCACTGTGATGTTTATAGCAGCCTTATCAACAGTAGCCAAATTATGGGAAGAGCCCTAATGAATGGATCAAGAAGACAGGTATATACATATATACAAGGGAGTATTCCCCATCCATAAAAAAGAAAGAAATTATGCCACTTGTAATGATGTGGACAGAGCTAGAAAGTATTATGCTAAGCAAAGTAAGTCAGAGGTAGACAAACGCCTATGATTTCACTCAATTTAAGGAAGAAAACAGATGAACATGGGGGGGGGAGAAAAAGGCAAATCGGAAAACAGACTCTTAACTATACAAAACAAACTGAGGGTTACTGGAGGGGAGATGGGTAGGGGATGGATAAAATAGGTGACAGGTATTAAGGAGGGCACCTGTGATGAGCACTGGGTGTTGTATGCAAGTGATGGAGCACTAAATTTGACACCTGAACTACTATTACATGGTATGTTAACCAACTATAAATTAATAGAAAACTTGAAAAAGAAAAAAAAAAGGTAAAAACATGAAGTATCAAATTATTTGTTATTGCTGCATGGTCACACTTTTCCACTTGCCTTTCAGCAAATAAAATATTATTTGAAAAATGCATTAATTCTTCAGCGCATTTAAAAAAAGCCTCATTTTATAACCTGCAGGATGAGACTATACCTGTTTTCCATATTCATTAAAAAGAACAAAAAACTTCAGGGGCACTTGGGTGGCTCAGTCAGTTAAGCATCTGACTCTTGGTTTCAGCTCAGGTCATGATCTTGGGGTTGTGGAATCAAGCCTTGCATCAGGCTCTGTGCTCGAGTCTGCTTGAGATTCTTTCTCTCTGCCCGTTCCCCAGCTCTTTCTCTCCCTCATTAAATAATTCCTTAAAAAAAATCCATAAAAACGTTATCTAAACACAGAATTGGTGGGATATAAGAGGATATAACACATATGTATACATTTTACACACATAAACTATAAAACAGATCTATATTCTAGTTTTTCTTCCTAGTTAACACTTGCTTCCCAGGAAAGAACTGATAACTATTGTCTTAATTTTATTTCCATCTCAATCTCAATATACTACATACATAAATTCAGAGTTAAAAATAAAGCTGTGCTTACCTTAAGCTGTCCAATTTCTTTAAATTTATAAACTTCATATTCCCAGAGTGCTGCATTTTTCCCAAGAATTTTCTGGCATTTGCTGGCAGTAAAAACATCCCAGGAAGAAAGAAGAAAAAAAAAAAAAAAAAAGAAGAGTAAGTAGACATTTCCTCTATTGGTTTAGATAAATCTCTCGTCCCAGAGTTTTGACAAATTTCTATCGCAGGTGCCAATGCACATAAAGGTATTACTAGATAACCAATTGATTGCATATACAAGGTGGACAGAAATCATAAAAATTATTACAAAATACTTATAAATAAAGATGAATCCCTTTCTGAAGATGATGGTTAGGGGCTTTCCCAATGATTATCCTGTTCTGAGTTTCCTACTTATCCAGATGAGCCCTGCTGGTTTTGGGACCTTTCTCACCTTGAAGAAATGTCATCATATCCCAAAGTAACGATTTAAACCACTTCTTAAAGAACTTTAAATAATGGACTACAAAATCAGACTTAAGAAACTTAGGATCCTATCATAGTATATAATCTGGAGAAATACTTATATATGAATAAAAACTTAATTTACACATCGAAGAAACAGGTTTCCCTAAATCTCAGGAAATAAGAGGTCGGCCTGAAGGCTGTGTTCCCAGGTTGTCCTGAGGTACTAGAAGGGAGCACCATGAAGCTCCAGGGGGAGGCACTCACACAACCCACATGGCCACTACGTAACATTTACGCTCTTGTGTACCACAGACCCCTGCAAACCTGAAACCTGAAATCTGGTCACTTCCACTGAATTGCCACCCTCTTGCTGGGAGACAACTCTCCTTGAATTACAAGCAGTGGCACTGATTGCCTTCTCAAGGATGCTTGTAGAACAGCAATGGAAATGAGAGACACAGATGATGTTTCCCTCCAGAGCAAAGGGCAGGACTGTTTAGTGTTTGGTATAATAAATATATTAGGTTCCTCTGAAGGCAGGCACGATCACTGTCCATTATAAAACAGAGATCCTAAGCTCAGGGTTCCTTTCCTGCAATACGAGCGATGGTCTGTGCAATGTCACCTGGCTGGCCCAGTGTGTCGTGCTGTGGGAACTGGAGCTGTGGGATCTGGCACAAACGCCAATGTGACGGCTACTACCACTGCTGAGTTAGGCCTGTGTCTCTGACCCGGGAGTCTCATGTCTTATGCCAGGACCCATGTGCTAACTTGTTAGCTTACAAAAAGGGTAACCTCTCCGACTCTTCGTGACTTTTGACATCTTTCTATTAAATTCTCTTGTTTGGTGAAAATGAGACAGTAGATGGTTAACTCACAAATCCATTCTGTGGTTATGGCCACCAATACTCAGAAATTACCCCTGCAAGAATGACCCCCCCCCAAAAAAGGTTGACCTCAGAGAATGGCTTATTTTCGTGTTAAAATTTATTTCTCAATTCTATTTATAGTAACAAATAACTGTGAAAATATCAGTATTACCGTGCTGCTATGTCATACTCTCCTTTCTCCACCAGGTGGTTTATGTACGCCAAGCCAATATCCTAGGGAAAATTAAATGAAGGAATTTCATAATTAACCAGAACAACCGCAAAGTTGAGCCTCATTTCCTGAGCAGCCCATGACATCAGGGTCTTATTGGCACTATGGGCTAGAACCTGTTTTATACATCCTAGGGTGCTATATGTAATTATGCTCATTTCCTTCCTAAACAGATTTAAATGCACTTGTGGTTATATTTTCACAAATTTTAGAATTCACACAAAAATAACATTCCTACGGTAAAGGCTCCTAACTTGCCCCCGATTAGGAGATTTTCTACAGAAGAAATCTGTAATATTAGAAACACGATTCAACAATTTCATGCTGTCACTGGATATAAAGTGGTTTTTCGTGCTTTCATCTGTAAGACGTGAGCTACTAGTCTCCTCTATATCATGTCTGAAGAAATGCTGTTAAGAAACACATGACAACAGAACAATCATATTAAAGGGAAATACTGAATCTTAAGGTTAACATTAATGTGAAAATGATGTCCAAAAACATGTGATTCACACCCATGAGTTTACAGATGAGGAAAATGGGATTGCAGCTTGGGCTGGCTTCTGAGTAAAATTCATTTTCTTACACCACCTCCGTTCTGAAAGGATCTGAGGTGGCCTGAGTCACCGAAGACGTGAGAGTTCTTGCTTGATCTCCCCCCAGGACTCTTGTGAAATATTATTTCTGACTAAAAGCATTTTCATAAGAAGCTTAAACTTATTATATAACAAAACTTGGATTTTAAGTTCCAGTTTATGTACAAAAAAAGGTGTTGTGGAATTTCTTCCCAGATGGCAGAAATGGCAGCGGCCCATTTCTGTCTCTGCCTGTATGGTATGAAATTATGCTGTGCTAGGAGGGAAAAAAAAGTCCACGCATAACTAATGTATAGGACGGGGCCGTGTCAAGGCTATGGGAAAATACTAACAGTTCCTACTTTATTAAATTTTACCCCAATAATGATTATATAGGAAATCCTATTTCAAATCTGTAGAAACTAAAGAGTAAAAAAAAAAAAAAAAAAAATGGGTGCCTAAGTTTATTTTCTGCAAACAGACCACATATCATAGTACTACAGAGTCTTTCTGTCCAGGGTCAGAGAAGAGAATGTGCCCTTTGCAGAGCCCATTTCTCCTCATGCCAGGCCCTTACCCTACTGTGCAGCTTACTGTGCCACTCATCCTCTTTCTCTGTCCTCCTTTAACCTCAATCCTATTTTCTCTCTTCTCCTTAGCGTAAGCATGTTCAGTGTCTCTCTCACACAAAATATCCACCATCACCAATGACCTTTTTTGTGATGGCCCGGCCCCAGGCACAGTCTGCACTCCCTTCCAGTTCACAGCCAACATGCAACTCTACTTCATCATCTCCTCCTCACTTTTCACTCCTTACAGCACATTGAGAATGAGTAATACAGAGAAAATTCACTCGTCACTTTCATATTGCCACACCCAGCGTACCACCGACTGGCTGAGCTTGTCTTACCTTTGACTGCTCTCTCAGCTCCCACGGAAACCTTCCTCTAGCCATTCCAAACTATTTTGGGCACTTCTCCTTTGAATATTGGCATTCCCAGTGGTTCCATTCAAGTTCTGTTTTCTGAGGCTAGATACTCACCCCGTGTGGACTGCTTCAAACTCGTGCCTTCCACTGACACCTGTTTGCTGTCAAATATCTGGGTCCAGATCTCTTCCCTGAGCTCCACTAGGATGTCCCAGAGATGGCCCAAATCCAATGTGTCAAAACCAGTATTAATCCTCCCACACTCCCTCCTCCCAGCCTGTTCCCCCTCACATAGTCTCCCTCTCTTAGGGAATGGCAACACAACCACCATCCCCCAAAACTGGGCGTCAACCACCAAAGACTGGGCGTCAGCCTAGCTTTCTCACTCTCCTGTGCATGAGGAGCCAGTCGCTGTATCCTGCAGAGTCCAGCTGAATGTATCCTCCGCCTGTCCTCACCTCCCCATTCCTACCGACTCTGTAGGTCTCATCCTACCACTTCTCTACCAAGAAGGAAGCTGTTCTGTTGATTCTCATTTCAGCTGGCCTCCCTCTAGCCCCTTTCTCCATCGGAGAATCTTTCTAACAAGCAGATCTGATGAGGCACTGAGCATAAACTGTCTTGTAGGGGATCTCAAGATGGAGCCACGCTCCCACTTACACATGGCCCTTCAGAATCTGGCTCTTGCTACCCATATGTACACTCTGCCACTGCCCCCACATAACCAAGCAGGCCAAGTGGTTTCACTTCTCTGCACCGTCCCATATACTGTTCTATTGGGCAGAATACCTTTTGCTCCATTTCTAGATAATCTTTGTTTAATCTCCACACTTTTGAATGGGGAGGGACAGGGATATGCTCTGGTTCTCTCTCTTCTTTTGGGTTCCTGAGTTATTTTGCTTGTTTACTCTCTAGACATTTTATGTGGAGTTTTAGGAAAGTTGAAGGTGAGGAATTTGGGCCACAACCCCAAATAGCCATAAACGCAGTTTTCATCTAGAAATAAGGGTCTTGGACTCCCTGATCTCTAAGGACCCTTCACACTCTCTCTGGTTTTCTATAGGCCCACCCACTGTCACAGTTACTAAAGAAATGTGCTTTTGGTCACTAAATTTTTCCAGAGTCCAAAATGTAAATAAAACATATCTAAGGTCCTAGATTAGTCTCTATAACACAAATGACTCTTACTATGCAGACACTGAAGCAATCTGGTTTTATGAAACTACTCTTGATAAATTTTGTGATAATGTGGTTTTACCTATGATTTAAAGAAACTTCCCCACACATAACTGGAAGGCTTTGTATTTAAAGTGCCTTTAACAAATTCAGGTTCCAAATTACCTAAAACTGCCTCCTAGCTGGTGTTCAAGTCTCTTGTTTACAAGCAGAAACAGAGTCAATAAACTGAAATATTTTGACCTTGCAGGTTGGAGAATTAGTCTGAAATAAAGTCTCAAAAACATAGGAAAAATCTGTTCTTTTCAAATTACTGTCGGTCTCATTATAACTTATTGAAAGGTAAAGTTATGCTTCAAATGATAAAATTACATACTTACTAGAATCTTATGTCTTTTAATATTCTTCTGGCTGATTTCAGCTGCCATCAAAGCTTCCTGCGTTTATAGAAGCATGATAAAAGGAGTCAGAAAAGAAGGGAGGGAAAATGAGAGAGAGTGGGAAAGAAAGATATTGAGGTTATAAACACTATATTTATTATGTTTTAAAGTTCTGGACTACATAAATAAAGCCCCATTTTCCTGTGGCTTTTGCTTCAAGCACAGGCATTTTTAATGTTATGGTTGAATGAACCTCACTGCATTCATACTCAAACAAAAGCAGTCAACCAAAATGAAGACTTCTCTTATTTCCATTTGAATGCATTTCCACATTAGGATATTGGAATCCCATTTCAGGCACAAATCAAAACACGACAGAATCTCCTAGATTCAAACAACAAAAAAAATTCATCTGTCATTCTAAATCTGCATGGCATACATTGACAAAGTGGCACTTTTCCTTTATGAAATGCAAAAAATAAACCACATGGATACATTCAGGTATATCTGCAATTAAGATTTTGAAAATCCTTGATTTTACTTTTATTTTGGAAAGTTCATTATTATTACTGTAACACAAACGTCAAAACATAAAATTATTGGGGTGCCTGGGTGGCTCAGTCAGTTAAGCATCTGACTCTTGGTTTTAGCTCGGATTTTGATCTCCGGGTCAAGCCCGGCACTGGGGCTCAGTGCAGAGTTGGCTTGTCCCTCTCTTTCTCTCTTCCTACCCATATATATATAAATTTTTTAAAGATTTCATTTTTTATTTGAGAGAGAGCAAGAGAAGACAAGCAGGGGGCAGGAACAGAGGGAGAAGCAGACCTCCCGCTGAGCAGGAAGTCCGACAGAGGACTCAATCCCAAGACCCTGGGATCATGACCTGAGCTGAAAGCAGATGCTTAACTGACTGAGCTACCCTGGAAATAAAATCATTAAAAAACACATAAAATTATTTAGGGAACTACTGGATCTGAAGCAATATAGTAATAACTGAAATATAAACTTTTTACATCAATACCTGGACTCTAGTTTATACATGAAAAACATTTTTCCCCCAAATCCTTTCAGGTGGTCACAAACTTAAAAGCAACATACAGTGGATTAGTTTTTGTTTGTTTTTAGCTAATTAGCATAGAAGCCCAACCAGAGAATTTCTCTAACCAAACCAACATAATATTTGCCTTTTCAGCTTTTAAAGTCAGAAAGGTTTCTGTTTTTGAAAAAGAGAAACTCATCATGGGACAGTTTTCTGCTCCTATCAGTCTGATTCAAGACTCAATGAAGTGGACCACATCATTCTGTCTGCAAAGTGTTCAAACCATTCTCAGTGAACAGTAAATTAATAGCTTGACTTTACATATGAAATAAGCACAAATAAACAGTACCACTAAAATACAGGAGACAATTCTGAAATACTAGCTCCATTTTATTTTCCTCGAAAAGCCACAAAACAAACACTTGCATAGGCTGAATCAAATCCACCCTGCCCCCTCTACTACCACCTCCTCCTCCTCCACTGAACAGTGAAGCCAGTTAACCTCCTTGTAATCCTTTCCCCCTAATTTCTGAAAAGAGCATTGGAAAGTTATTAGTCTCTTACATATTTTTAGCTTGGGGAATTCTAATTCACTTACACAAAAGATTTATTACAGAAACCTTTTGTCCTCTCCCTGTTACAGATGCGTCAATACTTTAAGGAAAGGAAAATCAAAACTACCTCATATTTCTTCTTTTCAAGGAGCCAGTCGATGTGGTCATCTTGGTCTCGTTCCTTGGCCACTACAACATCTCTTGGACTCACGATGTAAAAGAGCGATTCCCCTTCAGAGTACTCTAGAGGTGAGGGAAGAAAGAAACAGTGTGGGCGACTCAGCAGTAGAAACCTTGGCTGTAGTTTCAGAGACTTGGCTGGGTAACCCAACTCCAGAGGGAACAGAAAACTTGCCTGCCTTTGGAGCAAGTGTGTTTGGCTCTGTTTGGAGGTGCAAGTACTTTAAAAAACATTTACATGTAAAATTATTTGAAAGAAAAAAGAAGGGAGGGAAGGAAGGAATACAAAAAAAACTTCAAAAAAGTAAGGTAGTTTATAATTCTGTGTTTAACACATTAACATTGTGACCTTGACTGAAAGATAGCGATCAAAATTCTCCAGGTCTATGGTGTATCAGAATTCACCTTCTGTATATAAACTTAATTTATGGCCATTTACAGCACTGTTCTATTTTAACAGAACAATTACACCCCACAGTTGGCAATAAATGTCTCCTGCTCATCAAGGTCAAGGCCATCTACAGCATAAATGACAGATGCCCCAAGCCCTGGGGACATAATCTATCATATCGGCATGTTGTGCAGAATGCCGATCGTGAGGGTTTCCTGCAGAATTCAATTATACAACCTGTTCTGAAGGGTTTCTAAGGGTGCAGTAGAGTTTTCTCTGAGCACAATACCTAGTTCAGACACTTCTAGTTTGAGTCAATTTGCTTTTTGCCAAGTCTGGAATAGACTCTCACGCTTCTCAACTGACTAGGGGCCACATATAAGAAAGCTCCAACTGTATAGAGTATTTCTTTGTTTCCTTTGGCCAAAATGAGAACTGAAAATATTCTGAAAACATGTCAATTGTTTTTGAAGCAGGAAAGAATTTTTTTTTTTTTTTAAGATTTTATTTATTTATTTGACAGACAGAGATCACAGGTAGGCAGAGAGGCAGGCAGAGAGAGGAAGGGAAGCAGGCTCCCCGCCGAGCAGAGAGCCCGATGCGGGGCTCGATCCCAGAACCCTGGGATCATGACCTGAGCCGAAGGCAGAGGCTTTAACCCACTGAGCCACCCAGGCGCCCCAGGAAAGAATTTCTTAAAAAAAAAAAAAAAAATCTTAGGCTGTTCTATTTTCATCAATGTATTTTTAAAGGATAGGAGGACATTTGAGCACAGAGGCTCCAGTATGACCAAAGAGCAGTGGTTCGTTCTTTATTTCTGAGCAGTTGACCAGTGTATGCATTCCTCCACTCTGCAAATACCCAGCGAACATCTAGTACTTATCAGGCCCTCTTCCAGGCTCTGCGCATTTGGTCACAAACAGAAAGATGACTTCTTGGCCAACCCACAGCACACTTTCCAGATACATGAGGTTGGGAGTCATACGGCAACCACAGAACCATGCTGCCCGACGTCAATGTTAAGTGTTACACTAATTACGACAGACGTAAGAACAAAGACCACAGAGCCTACTCACCTCAGTCCTGGCCCCAAGCCTACCCCTCCCACCTACTGTGCAAGCTCAGACACATTCTGCAATATGTCTGGGCCTCATGCCCTCATTTTCAACACGAGAGGTGTGCCCAGGTAGTCTCTACGACCCTTGCAGCACCTCAATTTAAATTACTGGTTGTGTTAATCGCATGAAAGGGAAGAAACCCACAAGTATAAGAAATAGCTTGAGCCAGAGCCTTGGTCTCTCACCTAAATGATAATCTCTACACTCGTTCTCCTGAAAGCCTCTCACGGTCAGAGCATCAGAAGAGATCTCTTCACAGGTTTCAGAGAGCGGCTGGATGATATCCAGTCTTGGCCTGGCACAGTATTCTCTTTCCTGGGGGGAAAAGAGAGGGAAGGGTGTGTTTTCAATATGTTTCCAGAAACTGTACAAATTCATTCCAGTCAGTCATGATTAAATGCACAGGACTTCATAATTTCAGCAGATGTGAACCCCTCTATCCACCTGCACCAACAGCCTCATCACACCATGTTATTTCCTGACCTTCTGTGTGACGTCAACGGGACAGAAGCTACTGTGTCCCTACAGCCGTCCGTCACTCATCTCCAAGGGCACAGCCACCACACACTTCCACAATCAGCTTATGTCTCTTCCTCACCAATATGAGAAAGGGTAAAAATAATATTACCAACTGCCAAACCACTGTCACTACTGGTAAGCTTACTGGTGATGCTGAAAAGCCACAGAGATGGAGAGCTAGGTCGAAAACAGAACACGCTGAGAAGGCAATGGTCACCAAGAGCACAGGCCCAGGGCAGGGGTGTATGTCAAGGGCAGAAGTCACTGGCGACTAGCTGCGACCAAAAAACCAAGTTTTTCATTTTATTTCATTTTCATTAATTAAAATTTAGATAGCCACATAAGGTTAGTGACCACACTTTTGAACAGTGCAGTTGTAGGTCAAGAAAGAAGCGGGGGGCACCTGGGTGGCTCAGTGAGTTAAGCCTCTGCCTTCGGCTCAGGTCATGGTCTCCGGGTCCTGGGATGAGTCCCGCATCCGGCTCTCTGCTCAGTGGGAAGTCTTCTTCACCCCCCTACCCCCTACCGCCTGCCTCTCTGCCTACTTGTGATCTCTTTCTCTGTCAAATAAATAAAATTGAAAAAAAAGAAAGAAGAAAAAGAAAGAAGGGGGAAGGAGAGTTTTTTAGGCTGATGCAGTTTCCCTAACCTAGAAGGTGATGAGATGCATTAACCTAGAAGGTGATGGGGTCTTAAATGACTGACTGCTCCGAATATCACAGAAGAAGGAAATGGGGATCAAAAACTCTACTAAGGTCAAAGTCACATAAGTAAATGGTGAGACAGCAACTTGTTGAAAAAGTGGGACTTACAGTGAATCTTGAAGTCAAGTTTGTTTTAAAGTTTGAGCTTTCTGAGCATTCAGCACGCAGGCAAAAAACACACAGTCGAGCATTTTCCAAAGCAGTAAGACCTGTAGCCGTGTGACACTACCGCAGAAAACCCAGATGAAGGGGACAGCGTGAGACAAGTCAGGGCCTCCCCAACTCCCCAAGTTCCCCGAGGAACACTGTAAGCCTCACAGAGTACTCTGGTCCATTTTGTTAGGTTAACTGAGAAGCAACTGCATTAGCTTTGCGTCTCATACATTTTAAAACCCTCCAAAAATAAAACAGCAACTATAAAAGATCAACTAGTAGAGGGAAAAAAAATTAGCGAATATACAGCATAATTTTTCACATCTGTGGAAAAATGAGAATTATCTCAATTTTGAAACAATGAGAAAAAATGTAAAGACTTGAATATTTAAAAAATGAACTGCTCTAACAATGACAAAAAATAACAAAATTAGAATAGCAAGAAAAGAAAAAATATTTGAAGCAAATAATAATAAAAGAAAAGGGCCTTGCTTGGTCACATAAACAGCTCCCTGAGAGGCATAAGGAAACCATAGGTGATGTGATTCATCTTGTTATTTTATAACCTTTGCTCAATGGTCAAGCAGCCCTGCTTATTAACTTCCCACCAGCGAGAATTTGGTCTTGTTGGGTCTCTGATCTCCAATGCTTAGCATGACTCTGGATACATAGATGCTTTATTAGTGGATGAAAGAGAAACATATGATGGGGGGAGAGCTTACTAAATCCAGATGAAATAGTTCACAACCACAATAAATGACAATGATGGGGAATACAGAGCTGCACAGAGAGAGGCAGAATAAGGTTCACAGAAATCAGTAGAGTGTCACCATGATGGCAATGTGAGGACACACTCATGATGTGACAGGTATAAGGGAGAACATTCTGGGGGAGGATATGCAGGATATAAAGGCAAGTTTTGTTTAATGTTGCAGTTCCACTGTCTTTCTCATATGAAAAAAAGAGAAAAAAGGGGAGGGGCTCGGCCCCACGCTTGCTTTACTACTTTTGTCATAATTTTATCAGTTTACTCTGTGTTTAAGGATCGAAGGTGTACGCTGGTGTCATATAAAATAGCTACATGCACTGGCACACACACTCGTGAGTCCTCTCCAAAACTCTCACACTTCTCCCTCTGAAAAAATGCCTTTTTCTTCTCTTTCCAATTTCATTTTCTAATTTGCTCTATGAGGTTGGCCTTTCTTTGGTCTTTACTCCTTTGTAATACTCCCTTTTATCAACAAAGGTTTCCCTGCTTCCTTTCTTTTTCTGCTCGGTTGTTTATGAGGCTTTCCCTTTTTCATTTTACTGCTGCTTTCCTATGTCTTTCAATCACATTCTCAATCTGCCCCACCTCCCTCATCAGAAAGCACTATATTTAGCCCCTTGGGAGCCACTGCTTTTCTTTATCTTCAAAAAAATAAATAAAATAATAAAGTGATGTCCTGCAACAGGGCTAGAAGCCAGCCCTATTGATTTTAGTCGCTCTGAGTATTCACTTAAGTCTCCAGCATCCCATTGCCTAGCAACATGGGCGCCCAGAGCCTCAGGTTACTATAGCGATGACTTCCCACTACAAGTGCTTGTTCACAGAAATGCTCAAGAGCAGGTACCACTTCAAAACTGGGGCTCCCAGGGTCCCCCCCATTTTATTCCTAGCCAATTGAAAAGGGGGGAAAAAAGGAGAGGATACAGACAAGGAGAGCCCTACTTACTGTAAAAGGCTAGACAATCAATTTGTAATTTCTTTTATATACAGCACCTAAGAGAAAATCCTTTACAATAAGCTCTCCTTGTTTCTGCCTTGAAGCCATCCCTAGCGTCCCCTTTCCTGGCAGAACCCCTGGACTCTAACAGTGAAGACAAGCTGGGAATGGGGCCCACCTAGGCTTCAAAGGAAGACCGAGTGTCTCCACTGGGCATGCCCTCCACTGGATCACAAATACAGGCTTTCCTCCAAAGTCACGTATAACAAAATTTGGGTTCTCTGCTGCTTTCTATTGGCCATGCATTTCGTACTCTCATTTGCATTGATGACTAAGACCTCGCCACAACCATTTCAAAGCAAAAATCAAGCTACTGAGACTCAGTTGGCCACTGGGAAGTAAGCAAATCTGTCTGGACCACGGGAAATGAAGTGCCCTTTCCATAATTCCCTCTGACCACAGGGGCCCCTCTTGTTGCGGCAGATCAACTTCATTGCTGTCATTTCTGCTAATGCACAGTGTCAGCTTAGTTTCTTTGCCCTTCAGCAAAAGAAATCCTTCATTCCTTTCGACGAAAACACCAAGAGATGGAAAAAAAGAGAAAAAAAAATGACTTCCCTTGGCTCGGCAAAGGGAACAAAAGGCAGGCAATGAGTGAAGCTTCTGAAAGGTAAATACATAATCTCCACGGACCTTCTTTTATAGGTCAGGAAGTTCTGCTCAGACTACAGCACGGCCCTTTCATGGGCAACCTGATCTGGCTACAAGGCTAAAAAATGAACCCACACTTCCCTCTGCATTTGGGGTATAAAAAAAATTACCGTTTTTTCCGACACCTCCTTCACATAGGAAAGAACAACAAGTTGATCACAGAGAGGTGCAAGTCCACTGATGTAGAATTCAGTTTCAAACTGAGACACTGCAAACAAAAGGGATAAAAGATTCAGTGTTAACAGGAACAAAAAGCAGCCCACCAAGGAAAGGACACATCGACTATGAATGCTGGGTGGATTTACCGTAGAAATCTAACATAAAGGGGGTGTGGATAAACACACTTTTTCGACAATAATGAAAGGCCAGAAAAGGATATCCAGAAACTCAAACTTAAAATTTTCTAGCATCATCAAAAGGAAACCTGACAATAACAGCATGAACGGTCACACGTGACACTGGGACCAGCTAGTTTAAAAATGACATAATTAAACCCCATGAAGACACTTGTAAACCCAGGAAACCTGATGTAAACTAATATTAATGACAGTAATACTTTAAAAAAAATACCTGAATTTAGGTTTTTCACAATTAGGGCATTATAGTGATCCAAAGGTCACAAGGAATGCTACTTGTAATTATGAAACTATTGTTCCTTTTTTTTTTTTTAATAATAAACATTTTATTTGAAGACTCAGAAGTTAAAAAAAAAAAAGGGGTGTGTTAATACAGATTATATTGTGATAAAAGACCACTATTTCCTAACTGGAATAAAGGTCAGAGAAAATAAATTTCTATCTTTTTAAAGGCATTTAAAATGTACAACCAGTACATCACTTAAGAAGTATACGGATTTAATTACACTGGAGTTCACAGACCCAACAGGAAAGCTCAGTGGTAGAAGTATTAATATTGCTAACACGGTGATTCTAATAATTAGCTACTGTAAAATATTTATAATAAATGACTTTTACTTTAAGCAACTAAGTTTGGGGGTGGTTCGCTACACAGCAAAGCTAGCTGACACAGTAGTGGTGGGGACAGAGACCCTTCTAGGAGTCATGCATTGTACTTACAGATTCATTCTGAAGCAGACTCTCATTTGGACCCACCATATTTTCTAAGACTTTCCTGACTCAGACCTTCTCCACAGTTTTTGGTATTAGCTTTGGGTTAAGTTTTGTGTGTTTTTTTTTAAAGACTTTATTTACTTAATTATTTATGAGAAAGTGCAGGCACAGCAGGAAGAGCAGAGGAGGAGGGAGAAAAGGAGGGGGAAAGAATCTCAAGCAGACTCCATGCTGAGCGTGGAGCCCAGTGTGGGGCCTTGATCTCACAACCCTAAGATCACAACATGAGCCGAAACCAAGAGTTGGATGCTTAACCAACTGAGCCACTAGGCGCCCCAGATTCAGTTAAGTTCTATGATAAAACTGCTCTTTTCTCCAAACTAGGGTAAGTTAGTATAGTGTATCAGAAATAATATTTAATGTAGCAGCAGCTGGGTGGCTCAGTCAGTTAAGCATCCGCCTTCAGCTCAGATCATGATCCTAGGGACCTAGGATCAAGCCACACATCAGGCCACCAGCTCAGTGGGGAGTCTGCTTCTCCCTCTGTAAAAAAGAAACAATATTTAATGTAAATATAGGAAATCTGGGTTATAACTTCCAGTAAACTGAACTTGGAAAAAACATTTAACTTTTGTAGGTATAATTTTTCCCATCTATAAAATAATGTACTCAGAGTGGAAATAAAATCCCCAACACAGATGAAATGAGGGGCTACTGAATTTTTCTTCTGCCTCTTCTCCACTTTCCTTACAGATCCCTTAATGTTGTCTTTTATCTTTAATGTCAACTTCTTACACAACTGTTTTCACAATTTGATTTTCACACCAAAAGGAAATTGAGGTTGACCAAAAAAAAAAAAAAAATTACTAACTAATTAGTAACATAAACATTAAAAAGGTAGTATTTCTTATGCTTTGTCCTTAGTTAGATCACATAGGTGGCCATGGTGCCCTGTTAAGAACCAAAGAGTAGAGCTCCAAAGACAGGTGCTCTGGTCCCAGCACTGCCACTAACACTTTTCCTCAGTCTTTGTGAGCTCGAACTCAGTATTTTTCTTCTGGCACTTAAAACTACTTTTGGTAAAATGGTAATGTGATACATGTTCACATGAAGTGCATATGCAGAGAACCACCTCTACCATGACCACATGTACAGATGAGCACATCCAGGGTAGCCAGGCATGGAAGGTTCTAGACAAGCTCCCACAGGGGAGCTGCACACAGGAGTAGGGGGTAGGGAAGGGATAGGGGAGGGCTGGAATATACAGATGCTACTGAAGAGTATGGGGCCATGTAGGCCCAGTGATCAAAGAGGTGGCAATTTCACATTCTAGAAGGCATCCGGGCACATTAACCAGAGATTCTGATTGCCATCACTCTTGAGGTGGTTAAACCCCATTTAGTAGAAAAAGACTTGAGTTTTCTTTTACTAAATAACATTTCATCATTGAAATGCTACACGAACAGTTCAATCAGTCAATCAATCAACCAGCCAGAGATGCCACAGATTCTCGGGAATTACAAGGAAGCTTTCACGTAGCCAGTGGTGGGTGAACAAGGTCCTCTCCCCATTCAGGACGCCAAATATGCCTAGGCTCACAGTGACAGAGAGTATCAGTGTCTCTCCTATAGGTAACCAAATATACATCAAGCCTTGGTTTCAATGAATGCACTGTAAGGAAGAGAACAGAGAAACTAGAAAAATAATTCTATCCAAATCTTCCCTTCTCCACATACTTACTTCCCAGTCCTCAAAAGCTTCCCTTTATAAGACAGGAAAGTTCCTGTTCTCTAAGAATGATAGAAATCTAATGTGTTCTTAAAGAAAACAAGGGAAAATGTGCAGAACCACATAGCTATTTCACTTCTCAATTCCAGACACTGTAATAAATGCTTTTGTTAAGTACTAGATCTTACCAGACTTCACTGAGAATCAGTAATAATTTAGGCATACAATGCAAAGTGGCTAAATTACAAACTAACTGGAAAAATGTTATTTACGAAGACAAGATGTCGCATGTAAAAACAGTGTTAAGATTAGTGTCAAGAGAAGGAAATGTGGAATGTCAATGTTTATTCTCCTGAAGAACGTCATAAACGATGTAAAAGTTTATGGGCTGATTTTGTAGAATACCTTTAAGTAATTATGGGGTTTTCTATTTCAAATTTTTAAAGGACCAGTGGATGTTCTGGCTAATTATTTTCCCGGAAATTCTCTTCTTTTACACATACCAGTGATTTTAATCATTTTAATGAAGATTACTTGTTCTTCCCTAAAGGAGAGCTAGTTTAAATACAGATAGTTTACGGGTCTATTACCACAGAAGCTCATCTTTAAACTGGTTATCTGGAAAAGATAAATCACAAAGACAGTAAAGACAAACTTGGTTGCAGAGCACTAAAACAAACCAGAAGGTAAAAGCTGAAGAGGGAAGAAAAAGGAGAGAAGAATGCCCTTGCCAGAGAAAGCCCAAGCCAGCAGCTATACCTCAGGACACAATCTACAGAGTGCGGTGATGGCGCCCCAGCCCTGCAGGGGGCGCTGTGCTCACTCTGAGTAGGATGGACATGGCAAGGGGGTACTGGTCAGGAATGAGGCACAGCTTTCTTTTTCTGCCTCCACAGATGCAAGCGCTGCTGTGCTCTGGCTTTTTCTGGAGTAGCCATTCCTTGAAACGCAAGAAGAAAGAATTCAAGGGAAAAGACAAAAGTAAAGATTCCAAGCATACTGACAGAAAATTTCAAAAGGACTATTCATAGGAAATTTTTATTCAGGGAGGTCCTCTGGATGAAGAATAAGGACCCTGATGCAGAAGGGAGGTTAGAGTCCTAAATCCACACTGTCCAACAATATATTAATGCAAGCCAAAGAGACAACTTGCATATGCAACTTTAAATGATCCAGTAGCCATATTAAAGAGTAAAAAGAGGTAAATTTAAAAAAAAAAGATTTTATTTATTTATTTGACACAGAGAGAGAGAGAGAGATCACAAGTAGGCAGAGAGGCAGGCAGAGAGAGGGAGAAGCAGGCTCCCCGCTGAGCAGAGAGCCCGATGCGGGGCTTGATCCCAGGACCCTGAGATCATGACCTGAGCCGAAGGCAGAGGCTTAACCCACTGAGCCACCCGGGCGCCCCAAAAGAGGTAGAATTTTAAAAATATATTTTATTTAGCACAACATATCTAAAATGTTTTCAACACGTAACAACATAAAAAATTAATGGGGCCATTTATTTATTTTCATACTAGGTCTATAGAATCCTGTATGCCACGCAGCTCAACCCACACCTGCCGCTCTTCAAGGATTCCATGTGGCCAGTGGCTTTTGTAGCACAGATCGAGATGCCCAACAGACTGTTTGTCTTAGAAGTCCAGTAATTGTACTCAAATAGATCTTGATGGTGCTCATCGTGGGTCACTCGCTTAGATACACAAGGGTATATTTTTAATTTATAGCTTTCAGTTTTGTTTCTTTGTAGTTTCAAGAAACTTTTCTAGTATCTGCTCCTTTCCTTTCCTTTGTTTTGTTCTTTTCTTCAGGGACTCTTATTTGTAGGCTGAATCATCTTTGCCAGTCTTCAGTATTTACCATGTCACTGCAGACCTTTTTTTCTTATTGCTTTGTGATTTTTAAAATTGTCCTATTATTTATAAATATTTGGGGTCTGTCATCTCATTTGAGATTTTCAAAAATTCTGAACTTTGTTTTTTCATGTCTTGCTATTATTTTAAAAGAAATGTCTTATAGCTTGTTGTGGGTGTCTCTTTCTGGTTTCTTGCTTTCATTGCCAACAATGTCCTTCTGCATCTTATTTACTTTTCCTTAACCTTCAGTATGAGATCTGACCTTGGTACCTTTCCAGTCCTCATCCATGGGTGATGTCATGGTCCCCCGATCTCTTAGAAAGAGACAGGGATTGGGAAGTTCTTCAATTCACAGAGTCCCCTCCTACGCTGTTTTCATTTAGTGTTAAAAACCTGGCCTCTTGTTTTCTGAGTCTTCCTGGCACTGCCCCTGCCCTACTTCTGTCTCTTCTCTTCTGTTTCTACAGTCCATATCCTGATTTCAGGTTTTATCCTCCTCCAGCCTCAGCACTCAGGACTAGGTGCTCAACCGCTAAGGGTTCAAAGAGGCCAGT